CCCCCCTCAGATACTCACCTTATCTGTCCTGCAGTTGTTTAAACCCAAATTGTTTGCAACCGCAACCTTTCCATCCAGCACCTGTTGTTCTCGCCGGAGCTGTTCTTTCATCTGCCGAGCTTCCTGAATCGCCTTGGTAACAGCATCGTGATCATTTAAGTAACCTGATGATGTGATGGAGGAGAGGATATCTGGGAAGAAGGTAGAAGGTAGAGAGGTAGAGAGAAGGGAGAAGGTAGAGAGCATAAACAGAAACATGATTATCATCAAAACATTCAAATGTTTTCTCTTGCAGCATATGGGTGCCCTGAAAATTATGAGAGGTTGATCGCCTTGTTTAATTTATTTTAACATGAAAACACTGAAACCAAAGAGGGAGCGAATGACTGATTGTTGTTTCTCAACATTGACAGGTTTTGAGATGTGTGGACTTCAATCCCCAGAATTCTGGCCACGCTGGCTGGGGAATTCTGGGAGTTGAAATCCACACATCTCAAAGTTATCCAGGTTGAGAAACACAGGAGGACACCCTTGTTGTACCAATCAGTCATTGGTTGTACCAATCCCTCTATGGAGATTCTCAGTCATCCAGGTCATGGTTGTCTCAAAGGTGCTTTTTCAAGAGACCACTGGACTTTCTGGTTTTTCTTTGAAGACGTTTTGCTTTTGATTCAAGAAGCTTCTTCAGGTCTTCTTCAGAGTTGAAGAAGCTTCTTGGATGAGAAGTGAAATGTCTTCAAAGAAAAACCAGAAAGTCCAGTTGTCTCTTGAAAAAGCACATTTGGAACACCGATCTACTCCCATATTTGGGATATTAAATTAAACTCAGCAGCAGAAAATGGTGTTGCTGGTCTTCTCTGGAAACTCAAGTTTGAGAAAGTGAGATGGAGGAAGAAACACTCGACAAAGAGATCTAGAAATTGGCTTGTTTCTATTCTCTCCCTTACACTCAAATATATACTTAATACAGGTAGTCTTTGACTTGCCACCCCAATTGAGCCGGAGATTTCTGTTGCTAAGTGAGTTGCTAAGTGAGTTAAGTGAATTTTGCCTCGTTTTCTGGCAACAGTTGTTAAGTGGGTCACTGCAGTTGATAAGTTAGTAACACGCTTATTAAGTGAATCTGGCTTCCCTGTTGATTTTGTTCATTAAAAGGTCACAAAAGATGATCACAAAAAGATGATCACAGGACACTGCAACTGTCATAAATATGAGTCAGTTGCCAAGTGTGTGAATATTGATCACGTGACCATGGGAATGTTTCAAAGTTGTAAGTGATGAAAAATAGTCATAAGTCATTTTTTTCTCTGCCGTTGTAATTTGAACAGTTACTAAATGAATTGCTGTAACTCAAGGACTACTGTACTTTTATGCATTACAAAGAAAAAATAACCAATGATTCCTGGAGGTTATGGGTACGCAAAATATTCTATTATTGAATAATGAAATGGACTCTTCTACATTTTCGGAAGAGATTCTCGTTGTGCTTTTTTTTTTTTTTTTTTTTTGAGGATGAATCACTTCCAATATGTCTGAGTGAGCTTGAATCAGGGTACTCTGTGGCAGAACATTTTCATACCTCCCCTGAAATCCATACGAGATATTGAATTTCCCTAATATTGGCAATAAGCCATTAAAAGAGCCGTGGTGGCGCAGTGGTTAGAATACAGTATTGCAGGCTAACTCTGCCCACAACCAGGAGTTTGATTGTCACTGGCTCAAGGTTGACTCAGTCTTCCATCCTTCCAAGGTTGGTAAAATGAGGACCCAGATTGTTGGGGGCAATAGGCTGACTCTGTAAATTGCTTAGAGAGGGCTGTAAAAGCACTGTGAAGCGGTATATAAGTCTACGTGTTATGGCTATTATTCCTACTCTATGTGCAACTAGATAATCTGCTCAGTGGCTAAATGATGGAAGGGTCCCAGTGACTTAAAGATTAATATTTTCATTTCAGACTAGAGTTTCATGAACAAAAGTGTCACTTCAGCAGGTGTGCTCAGCCTTAATTCAGTCAGCATTTTGTATCGGTGTGAAGGAAAGCAATGCAAAGACAATGAAGATTGTTAGTGGAGGCAAATAAGGATGAAATGCCAAAAATAAATTTTTTAAAAATGAACCCCCAACCCCAAATTAATAGTTTTATGGAAGAAATTAACTGAACTGGGAGTTAAATGAAGAACTGCACGTAGGAATTGGTGTGAAATAGATTCCTTTCTCATTTTGATGCTGGTTTAGACTTTCAGATATATATCCCAGTCAGAAGACATTTACATGCCAAAATCTACAATTTGCTGGCTCCCAAAAAATGGGCATTTAAAAAAAAAAAATTGTAAAAGGAAATCATTTTATCTATGTGCAATAGGTAAAATGAGAGCAAAAATCTAGCTGCTATGAGAAATGTGCACAAAATCATTTAATGGTTTCATGCAGATTTGTTTGTTTTGGAAACCAAAAAACATAAGGATACAAAACAAATATACAGATGAAAAGTGAGAATCGGAGTAAAGCTAGACTTATCTTTAGCTGTGTTTGTGTGTACATGGCTAGGTCCCAAAATTGGGCCAAACTGCAGTATCATTTGTTTATGATTTAGGAAGTTGTGCGAATCCACCCATGGTTGATTCAGCAAGCCACACTGAAACTATGATTTAGCAAGCATTCCTTGTCTAGTTTTCCCTGCAGTTCAAAATAAAATAAAATAACTTAATTTCTATCTCCTTGAAAACAAGCCTTGTTCATCACTTTGAATCATAGAAGGATTTGCTTGGCTACTTTTCCAAACTTTATGCTGGATTAAATTCCCACTTAATCCCACTCATCTATTTATTGATTTATGCCCCATTTTATCATTTGGAGCAATGTCAAAGCAAGTCTGCATGCATCCAAGTAAACAATTTTTTAAAGCAGGGATTACAGCACACAAAATGTGGGCCAGTAGGGGGAAAAAATGTAAGCTTTTCTTGAAGTGTATTAACCTGGAGGTCTAATGAGCAACTGAAGAATAAGTTTCCACGAAGGGCATGCATGGGGCAGGTCAGAAAGTCAAGAATATAGGGGGCAGCTTGAGTTCTTTGTCACCCTCTCCCAAAGAACCCAGTCCTCTAATTTGGCCTAGTGCAGTGGTGACATTCTACTGGTTCGGCCCGGTTCAAGCGAACTGGAAGTAAAAAATGCTATCGTTCAGCCGAACTAACAGTAAAAAAACAGCTACTGGTTTGGCCAAACCGGTATTTTTTTCCCCTCCCAACGATCAGCTGTTCCGACAATGAGTTGTGCCGGGATCCGCCTCGCTGTCTCACTGCTTCACCCAGGAGGCTTTCCCTAAAGCCCAAGAGGCACAAAAAATGGAGCACAAGGGATTGCGGAGCAACCCTCCCCATGCTCCATTTTTTGCCTTCCTGGGCCTCAAAATGCCCCCCCAGGAGGCTTTCCTGAGGCCCAGGAGGTCAAAAAATGGAGCGCGGGGGGGGGGGTGCTGCACAAAAAAAGAAGTCACGCCCACCCAGTCACATGGCCATGCCCACCTAGCCACTCCCACCTAGCCACGCCCACAGAACCTGTAGTAAAATATTTGCATCCCACCCCTGGCCTAGTGCCATTAGAGGAATGCCATGGTGTGAGGTGGTTTAAAGGACAAAGATAGATGGGTAAGGGGCTATTGAAGCACCCCTGCATTTGCAAGTATGGGTGCGTTGCCATGTGCCTGAATTTTGATAAAGTGACCTTGGGGGTCACTGCAACTATTGTAATTTCAGGGTTGCCACTGTAACTTCGAATGGTTGTTGAACAAATGGCTATTAGCTGGGAACTATCTCTAAGTCTTTTGAGCAAGCAGGCAAGAGTCAGCACAGCATTGACGCAGCACTAAAATAACATAAAGTCTGGAAAAACATTCCTCTGAATACATGAGGCAGGTTTATTAATTTTAGTTTGTGCAGGAGAGGAAGCATGGGATAAAAATATATGACAATATTCCCTTAAACCAGGGGTGGGATTCCACAGGTTCGCACCTATTCGCTGGAACCGGTTGTTAACATTCTAAGCGGTTCGGAGAACCAGTTGTTAGAAGAAATTACTGGCCTAATCCTGTAAGGAAGGCAGGAAGGAAACATTCTGGTGTTGCTTACAGAAACTGCCTCTCCATTAACCCTTATTACATTCTTGGCAGCACTAGACTTCCTGTCTCAGGAACTTCTCTGGAGTTTTTCCCCCCTCCTTTGCTGGTACTTGTGTGGAGTACCATTCAAAGTTACAATGGCACTGAAAAAAGTGACTTATGACCATTTTTCACACTTACGACTGTTGCAGCAACCCCACAGTCATGAAAGGCCAGGCGAGGAGATGCGTGCCTCGATGTGAGTGATATTGAGTTGGCCACACCCAGCCAGTCACATGACCACCAAGCCATGTCCACCCAGTCACCTGACCACCAAGTCACACTCACCAACTAAGCCATGCCCACAGAACTGGTTGTTAAAAATTTTGAATCCCACCTTAAACCTCAGAAATGCCTTAATAAAGTAGTTGTCCCAAAGGTGCTTTTTCAAAAGGCAAATGGACTTTGTTTTTCCCTGAAGACATTTCGCTTCTCATCCAAGAAGCTTCCTTCAGTTCTGACTGAAAGGTGGGCAGAGGGGGAGGGATACGACATCACTGATCTCCTGTTTACAACACAGTCCTTTCAGCAGTTCCAAAAAGTTTCCACACCCATTTGCACTACTCAGGTGATCCTGACGGCACAGACAAAGCTCCAAGCAGCCTCAACAGCTCTTAGAAAGAGTGCTAACGACCAGATGACTGCAAGGAACGTAGATCCTTCCATCCTCCACCATTCATTCAGTCAGAACTGAAGAAGCTTCTTGGATGAGAAGCGAAACGTCTTCAATGGAAAAAAACACACACAGAGAATCCAGTTGCCTTTAGAAAAAAGCACCTTTGGGACAACCATGTCCTGGATGACTGAGAATTAATCCACGCATGTGCACAAACACAGTGAAGAGTAACCTTCACCCCACACCACCTGCACTTCAGTTAATTCAAGGAGTGAAGAGAGTTTAAACTCGATCCTCAGTCTGATAAGGCTTGGTATAATGTTCAATTCATGCCATTCACACCTGTACGCTCACACCTTTTTCTCTCTCACCCCCACACATGTACCCACAAGGGCCCACCTCAGAGCCGAAATGCTTC